TATATATATATATATATATAATGTTTACCACATTCAACACAAATAAAACGTCTGATGGTGAAGAGTTTAAAGTGATGACGGTTCATCCTGAAGGGACCATGAACCAAGTCTCAATCCATCCCATAATAATAACCCAGATATTCATCAGTTTAAAGGGAAACAGCAGCTGCTGCCGAGGCTCCCATGGGCAAGGCACTCATGTTTCCCACAATCCTCCTGCTCCAGGAAGTGAGCGTGTCTTTATGTATTTATACACATACTTTAAGTACAGCTTGCTGATACTTTTCTGTACTTTTACTTGTAATTGAGCAGAAAAATACTTCTTGGACGATTCTTTGGATTTTCAAAATAAAATGTTGTATTTGTATTCTTTATATACAATGTTGTAATGGCTGACTAACATTTGATTCAATGAAATTCTATAAACCAGTTTGTTTCTGTGTCGAGCTGAAAGTCAAATTATCTCATCGGCTGATTTGTTTCCACTTTGAGACGCTCCAATGAAATGTTTCCTTATATGGGTTGGAAAGTGATGACCTCAAACCGACCACACACACGCACACACACGCACGCACGCACACGCACACACACACGCACACGCACGCACACGCACACGCACACACGTATAAACTGCAGCATGAATATCAAGTAATTTCTCTGGTTAATTTGATTAAAAGTTGAAATGAAAACAAACTTGTGTTGAACTGTCAACACTTTAAGGTATCGGTTCGCATCTCTTTGTCCCCACAATGAGACTGTGTGAACAGATTTAAGTCCCCACAATGTGATGAATACAACCACACAGACACACACAGGAAACAGCACATGAGAAGAAGTCAAAACACTTCTGATTCGATACGTAGCGGCCTTTAACCGCGACTGTAATCTGTGAGTGTGATACCGATCTGCTGTGTGCGTCTGGTTTCCTGCTTATCACAGTGTTTTGGGCGTTGGAGCGTCACACAGTTTAGTCTATGCACATCAAAGTGTGCGTGTCTTGTTTTGACATTCGGTCATCCACACGTTTCAACCCTGTAGACCAGAACCAGCAGCTTTTTTTTACCTTGAAAAAGCCCTTAAACGCCCAATAATTCATATTTTAATATTGATGAGGGACCACATGACTACTTCAATGTGAAGGGGAAAGCAAAAACGAAACATGACTTTACATCATTTCAATTTTAACGTGCATAAAAATAATAAGTGGATCTTTAAAGGTAATACATTTAAAATTCAGAGCATATCTATTGCCTCCACACGGCTCTCAAGATGGCGACGGCTGAGCCGGCGGCTAGCAGCTAACAGTGCAAACAGAAGGCAGCAGTGCTGACGGAGATATCAGTGTGAAGCGGAGCTTCATCAGCTGTAACCAGCATAGACTGTGTATAAGAAGTGGACGTAGTCAGCCATTGGTTCCTGCTGTTTTTGAAGCCTTGAGTTTCGGCATTTTGGCCGTCGCCATCTTGTTTTGTTGCAACCAGAAGTGACACGAGAGGTTGGAGATAAATACAACTGAACGCTGAAACATTTTTAGGTGATCAAAATGTTCCAATTAACTTTTCTTTGGAAGAGTTAAAGTTGTAAAACGAAAACATGGAAAGCTCTCAGACCGCCGTGGTAGAGACCTGTCAATCACTGTGTAGCCCCGCCCTAAAGCATCCCCTGCTTTATGGTCTGTGTGACTCTAAATGGACCATAATGTACTAAATGAACATCATGCTGTATTGAAGAAGACTTGAAACTAGAGATTGAGACCATAAACTCATGTTTACAATGTTTACTGAGGTAATAAATCAAGAGAGAAGTAGAGTCATTTTCTCATAGACTTCTATACAACCAGAGGAGGCGCCCCTGGTGGACACTAGAGAGGATGTAGCTTTGTTTACCTGCCCTGACTGTACAAGCAGTCCATGTCCGACGCGTCGAAGCCGTCTGGGTTCATCGTGGGCAGGATGTGGATGCGGGTGCTGTTCAGTAACTGCAATGACCACGTTTCGTTGTTGCGGTAACCACGAACCAGGTCGTCGATTAGCTGCAGCAGCAGCACTCGGCCAAGAACCTGCACACACACACACACACACACACACACACACACACACACACACACACATGCACACAAAAGTGTTACTTAGAATATGACCAAAGATATAATTGAAGTGATTACATTTTCTGGGGTTCATTTGATTAGAAGTTGAATGAAGTCTGATGCTTTAGAATGAAAACAAACGACAGCAATCATCAAACTTCCTCTCGTCTTTGCTGCTCAGTTCCACAGCTTTATTCATTCATTCCTCTTTCCAACATCTCTCATGACATTTCATGTTCTCTCCTGCTGGAACACAGAGTGGGAGGAAGTGATGTCGTGAGTCAGCGAGGAAATCGAAACGCGACCCCGAGACGAGGCAGGGGCTGATCTTTCCTTCTTCTTTTGACGCAGAATAAGAAAAGAAACAACAACTTTGTGAATGAATGAGAGCCTCGGGAGGCCGGAAGAGAGAAGGGTGGGAAAAAGGTGAAAAGGTGTGTGTGCTCACAGAGCTGACACACACACACACACACACACACACATGTCAGGGCTAGCGTTGCCTTCGGCCATCGTTTTGTTTTTCCTCCAAACACTCGTCTGAACTCTTCTCTCTCCTTACAGGCGTCACTTTACAATCCAGAACATTGAGTCGAGTGTCATGTCTCTTTCTCCTCAAACACACACTGTCGGTTATTCTGACTCACATATGGCGTCAGATGAGTCTCTGTACAAACATAAACACGCAGAAGGATTCATGAATGTATTTTGTGATCTATACGTGAACAACTCTCTCCACAAAGATGTTTTTCATCATTGTACTGTATATGAATGTAAACAGAAACCAACAATCAAAAATACATATTTCTGATGCACACACAAATATTTCTTGTTGTAAATTAAATGTAAAAGAAATCCACAAATGTTATTTTTTTATGCGTTTGGAAGACCACACCTACTCATCCTCTGTTTGACTACGGGCTGCTAAATACTAACGTTAGCCTAGCATCGATGCTAACCGGTGGCTTTGAACTAGAAAGGAGCAGCGGGTCATGACTCTCTGCTTCCCAGTTGTTGTTCTTTTCATGCTGCAACATTAAGCGATTCCCTCGTCTAAGATGTCTTATTGTGTGGTGATTAAAATGCATTCAGACGTATATTATTGATGCGTTGCTGCCCTCATCAATCATGACACATTCCTCTCCATTATGCTGTTCCCGGCCGTCCGCTGGTGTTTACGTTGCCGTGCATTAGCAGATGTAAGCTAACGTTCAGCGAGCCTCACGAACGATAACAGTTCCAGAGTCAAAGACGGGAAACTCTCGCTCCTCTCTTCGCCCACACACGTCCACAAACACACAATGTCCTTGTTTCTAAGAAAACAAAGCTGGGAGCAGCTACGTGGCTGTGGCTGCTCTGTCGTTCACTTCATCTTCCTTTAGCTCCTGAAACAGCTGTTTGGAATAAGATATCGGCTCCTCTAATGCTGTATTAATGATTCGTTTCATTATTGTTTAACTGCAGATTGTTTCCTTTTGTTTCATCTATAAATCACAATTTCGTTGATCCCCAAAAAGACATGTTCAGACATCTTCCTTTGTCCAAAACCCAAAAGCATTCACTTTACAGTCATTAATGACAAAGACAAAAGACAAATCCTCATATTTAAGAAGCGTAAATGTCCGAGATTTGCCTTTCTTTGCTTAAAAATTAATAAATCGATTATCAAAATGGTTGCCGCTTAATTTTCTTTTGCACATCGTGTGCATAAAATCCTGCAGGACTGCTCAAACAAAGATGAACAGTCTTCCTACTGCTCTAGATATAAATACATGTAGTTGTAGAAAATACAACATGTTTCAAAAACTTTACTGAAGTTTCAGGACGTGAGTTCGTATGTGTTTTTAAAAGTGCGACACTTTTAAACGTAATAATACGGACTTGGTTTGTAGAAGAAGTGGGCGGTACGTCAAAGTATCGGACAAACTAAAGATTGGATCAGCTGATGGCGCTGGATGAAAAGTCAGCGGATCATCAAATTCAGTGCAACTCATCTTCAGGGGAACATGAATGTGGAAACCGAATCTCATGACAATCCATCCAATTGTTAATTCACAAAATTCCACCAACGCGAAACCTCACTGAGGTGCAACAGGATCCTCAAAGTTCATCTTCTGTTTGATTTCATTGCAACTCATCCGATATTTGTTGAGATACTTCACCAAATGACAGACGTCGCCTTCCATAGAGACAGAAATATGCAATAAGAGCTGAGAGATACGTCGGAGGAGGAGAGCAGATTAGAGCTGTGGAAAGACGTCTGGTTTATTTGACGTTACTGTTCATTCTTCTCAGGATCAGCGACGACGGACTGCATTCCTGCTGCTGACTGAGCGGCGTTCTGTCAAAACACAGACGAGTGTTTTCTGATTTCTCGTCTGAACGTCGAGGACAGAAACAGCCCTCGGACATCTGACGTCTTTCTGTCCGAGCCTTTGATTTTGCACGTTGTTCGTTTCCTGTGTTTATTGGAAGTTTTGCCAAACAACATGGTTTCCTATCAGGGGGCCAGATGTATCAACGATGAGCGGGTACGGACAACATGCACACGCCTTCACAAGCAGAGACATTTATACAAGCAGAATGTCAGCATTCATCTGCTGCTGTGCCAAAGGATTCATCCTCTGGGAACCATGACTGCCATTTCATCCAGCTGATGTTGACATATTTTTTAGAATGTGGGAAAGCTTTGATCAGCTGGTGGTGCTGGAGAAAGAAAGAAATGCCTAAATCGTCAGTAAGTTGCTTGTTCTGCAACACGTTTGTGATGCTGAACATCGTGTCTAGTGAACCACATCAGGATCACGTTTCTTCATCTTCGCAGTACAAACGAGGACATGAAGTGCTCGTCGGCCTCGCGGGAGATAAAACTCACGTCACAACGGAAGATTCTCTCTCTGGGAACTGTGTCATTCACACGCACAACCATCTCTACACGACACCGTTTCTACTTCCTCCACTGAGGCTACATTCCTGCTGTTGTAATGTGTGTGAGCGGACTCGTGAAAAGGCCTTTTTTCTGGAAGTTTCCTTCCGAAACCGACACACTCCGCTGACTCTGTTTGCTGACTGTGTAACACACTGTCTAAGTGTGTGTGTGTGTGTGTGTGCGTGCGTGTGTGTGTGTGTGTGTGTGTGTGTGTTGAGGCGTGACTTGTCTATTTAAGGACATTTCCTTACACACACACACACACACACACACACACACACACACACACACACACACGCAGTGTGATCAGCCGTAGGCCGTCGCCACAGTAACCAGATGCTGGTCAGAAGTGAGTTTCCTTCACACTGTTTTTTTGCTTATTTCACTTATTTGTTTTGTCTTATTCCTTTAAAACTTTGAGTTTACACATTTAAGTTTTGTCTGATTCTTGTCTCATTATCTGAAATATATATTACATTTATATAATATGTCATAAATCACATTGTTCTGATTTGATTAACCTCTATACTGACACTTTTAATGTTTTCTTTATTTCAATTTCTTTAGCTTTATTTGAATGAATGGAGCTTGAACTCAATGGAACCTCGTGTGCGGCTCTGCTCCGTATTTACAAACACTTATTGATGAAACGCTGATTTGTTGTTGACAGTGTAACGTTAGCATTGTAAGACTAGCGACTAGAAAGCATCAATCAGATCTCCAGATCGCATATTTAATGGAGGCCCATGACAAACCACACTATGATGTAATAATCTACGGGTCACATGACTCCCTGGTCATGTCTTTATATC